CTTAAGCATTGTTGCACAGAAAAAGAGAATCCAAAAACTTCACTGCACTAATAGCAATAGGAATAATAGGTAAAGTTCTAACTCTTATTCATAGATTTTTAATTTTTTGCCTACAAAAAAAAATGGTTTTCCATTATCTTTATCCTCTTGTTTCACTATCAATCTTCAATCTCAACTGTTAAAAATAATTCGATGGTTTTGTTATTTTGTAGTTCAGTGAATTTTTCTTCTCTTTCTGCCTCAAGGGTGAGTACGTATACAAGAGGTAAGTTTCTAACCTTTTGATTTCTAATTTCTAATGTTTTGTCGTCTAGTTATGCACTCCGGCACTTTTCTTTGTATAACATATCTAGTCATCATTATATTTACAATGCCTTTTTTCACTTAGTGTCTCAATGTTCATTCCTTATTATTTGTAAACTTCTAATTTGATTATTTCTAAATTTTAATTAATTGGTTATCGTATAGATGTTTGCTAGTCATATCATTGGTTTAGTTGCAAGTATAGATGATGGAACACCAACAATTGAGTGGTAAATGAAGGAATACAAGCATATGAAGAAGCAAATGTTGAGAACAATGAAAATGTTATTCAACAGGCTAAGAGAAAGAAAACTTCTTCGATTTGAGATCACTTTCAAGAAGTGAAAGTTAAAGAATGGAGCAAAAAATATTAAAAAATCATTTGACCTTTAATTGGTTAGAAAACAAACTATAATTTTGTGCGTGTGTGTGCTTTATATAAAAGGGAAAAAAAATAAGTTGGTCTATTTAATTACCATAATTTGTTGAAGAAATTTAAATAATAAAAGAATCAGATATTAACCATTGAAGGAAAATATGCATACTCATCTCTCATTCCAATTGATTTAAGAAAAATTGTTGTCTTGATTTTCTTCAAAGTTTTCTATTTCAAGACTTTATAATGTTAGCAAACTATAATAATAGTAAATGCCAAAATCGCATGAATTTTATATTCTTTTGAATCTTCCTTCAATATTTCCAAATCCCAATGCTCTATAATCAAGCATATTGGCATGCCAAAAATATGTAATAATCAAAATTGTAAATTTAAAACCAATGTTATAAAAAAAATTTATTCTCACACATTGCACAGGTCAAATTTCAACAATAAAAAAATAATGTACAAGTTTATCAATAATAGTAAAGCTTGGATAATGTGCATATTCATCTCTCATTAATTAGGAGAAATTGTCTTGATTTTCTAAAAAATTGCCTATTTCAGGACTTGATAATGTATGCAAACTATAAGGACAAATACAAAATTACATTACTTCCATATTATTTTGAATCTTTCTCCTATATTTCCAAACTCCAATGCTCTATAATCAAATTCTATAAATATTTGAAACTTAATTTTACATAGAAAGTGTTATAATTTTCTAATTTGTAATTCTTCTTCTCACACAAAATAAGTTATCAAATTCCAAATTAAAATTGAAAAAAATTGTTAATAGTTAAAAAGAGAGAGAAAGAGAGAGAGAGAAAGTAGTCGTACCCACTAAAACAAAATATTTGAAACTCAATTTCACATAAAAAGTACTATGATTTTTTAATTTGTGATTCTTTTTCTTATACAATAAGTTATCAAATCTCAAATTAGAAATAAAAAAATGATAATGATTAAAAAAGAGGAAAAAAAAAGTAATACTTTCAATTTTTAATAAAGATTGCAATGTGAGATGTAAATTAAACAAAGGGGTGAAAAATAGAATGGATAGAGTATGAAGATGTAATACAGAAAGTAAGGAAGAGATGTAATAGAAAATAGAATTGTAGAGACATTGACATGAAAAACAAGTTATCAAATTCAAAATTATGTATGGAAAAAAATTGAGAAAAAAAAGATGAACAATAAATATTACCTTCCAATTTTGGTAACGATTGTAGTGATATGTGTTAAGTCAAAAGACAATGTTAGATTTCCTTGATCTAGAGTTTTGTTATTAACAAATATAGAAGTTTTTGATCAATAATATAAAGTTTTTGAAATGATTAAGATGAATTTTTCTCTAAGATGAAATTCACCTAGTAAGACAAAACTTTCTATAAGACGATATGTTCACCAAGACAAATCTATTAAAGAATAAGATGAACCATTAGTCATTAAAAGAGATATGCATTAAATCTTTATTATTTACGATCTATAAATCATATACTGAATACATATGAACAATTCCTTAACAAATCAAATTTAAAAATGTTTACTTGGTACTAATGTTCTACAAAAAGGAAAGAGAAACATGCTTTGCGTCAGAAAATGACAAACAAATCTTTGCAAACACGAAAAGTTGTAGCCAAAAGCTATTTCACTACTACAACGTCCTAACACACACATGGTTCTACCTAAATCCTAAACCATAAATCAAATGTGTTCTACTAAAAGAAAAGAAAGACATGTTTTACGTCAGAAAAAGGACAAACAAATCTCTACAAACACGAAAAGTTGTAACCAAATGCTATTTAACCACTACAAGTCTACAATGTCTTAACACACACATGATTCTATCTACTTGGTGCCAAAAGGTGATAAGTAACTTTTTTGATCAAATAAGAAGTGACAATTTTGTGAAAGCATTTAGTGCAAGAATTTATTACACCAGTAGACACTTCTCTCCCAAAAGTAAATCGTGAAAATAGACGAAGCAAGCCATAATAGAGAAGCTCAAGAACTTTTAACAATCTTCTGCACTAAAACTATATAAAAAGGAAGATTGAAGATTAGAAGAAAGTGAGATCGATCACTGTAAAAATTGCATTCTTTCTTTCTATAAAAAGCATTTGTACTTAATTTGTTGTATCACATTTTGATAGGGAGACGAAACAACTTTGTAAATCTTATTAACTCTAAGTTATTGGGTTTGAACTTAAAGAGGTTTGTCTGTAAAAGAATATTTATCGTTCGAGCTTGTAGAGACTTAACTGTAAAAGAATACTAGGTGTTGAAGTCTGAAGAGGCTTTGTGAGAAAATAATACTTGCGTAAATTACTTGAAAAGGAAATTCAAAGAATTCTAATGGTTAAACTATAAGTGACTTGATAAAGAATACTTGTCTTTGACAAAATAGTAAAACTTTATTTGGTTGAATAAAAAATTGGACATAATTTTAGTGGTTGAAATGAACTCATATAAATCCTTAAGCTCATTTTTTACTTCGTCTGCTATTTTATATGTGTCATGGTTACTACTTCATTACACTATGATAAGTGATAGTTTTTGAGTAACATTATTTGACATCTCCTTCTAGTGTTCCTCTTTTCTCCACAATATAGAAATTAGACAATAAATAGAAGAGTGAGTAATGAATTGAATAAACCACATATGAGAAAGATATAATTATATAAAGAGTAAAGGAAAATTATAATAGAAGATAGAAATATAGAGAAGTTGACACACCAACAAATATGCTGATATGAAACATTTGAGATTTAAGAGTATAATGACGTATTAGCTTAATAATATGTTGTTTGACTTTTATATTATAAATAAAAAATAGATAAATAGATTATTATTCTGTTTCTTTTCATTTTGATTTATCTTGTTACCTAATGTGTATTGTTATTGAGAACTTAACACTCTTTACATGTTTTTGAATCATCTAGTTAATTGTGTATCATATCATGATTAGTTGGTGGACCTATAAATAGTTACGTTCATGGTTACAAAACATACAAACTACACACCAAACTTTCCATAGTTTGAATTTTCGATTGTTCTTCATCCTTTGTTGAATTAAATTATTAAATGAACAACTAGTAATTTAATTATTAAATTAAAGACATATTTATAGTTTATGATCAATAATAGTGAATAATATAAAGATTGGAAAATTGTCAAATTAGTGACTAGTTGAGGGTTTCATTAAATCAAAGGAAAAGTGATTCAAAGCATAAGAAAAAAAATGTAAGCTTGTGTTTTTCTTATTATCGAAAAAAATTCAAGTTTCATATTAATTAGAAGTAAGACAATTAAATAGTATATAATTGAGAGACAACTCTCATCTTATAAGTTAATTTTGTAAAGTTGAATTAGACTCTTAACCTATTTTAAGATGGTATTAAAACTATTTAGATTCACTCTAAAATTATTTATACACACACCAAGCCTAATAATTTTGGACATGAGGAAGTGTATTGAAAAAATTTAAGTCTCACCTATCCTAGATCATTAAAAATGATTACTCATCATTTATTCACATATTAAGTCTAATAATGTTGGATGTAAGAGAGTATATTAAGAAAAACTCAAGTGACTAGAGATAAGATATTAAATAATATATAAATAGAAAGTAACTTTCACCTTACAAATATTGATTTCATAAGATTGCATTAGACTTTTAATTTACTTTATCAATCTAAAAGGAATTTTTTTTATATATATTTTAACTACTTGCAACAACCCTTTTAATTGGTCATCCTAGACTATATATAAATTCCTTCTAAAAAGTATCACAAATTAGTCTTTTATGTATGGTATTTGAACTCCTATCCTTTGTAACTGTCGCAATATACACTTGCCTTTTAAGCATATTTTACGGACACATATGCGATATTAATTTATTAGTGTATAGGCATAGAAACATGATTGATTTATGAATGTTGCGCGAAATAAAATAGGAAATGACAAGTTTTTTAAATTTTGGTAATACAATTGGTTAGGAGATTGATCCTTAAAAGAATTATTCTTAAAAAAGTAGCTTTTATCACATATATTTTCTATATAACTGCATAACTTTGATTTTTTTATTTTATTATACGTAATAGTAAAGAACCGTCTTTTTTGAGTCCAAGAATAATTTTTCCCAAATCCTTTTCCTTTTTTAAACTAAAATTACGTATTTATTTTCTCAGTAAAAATAAAAAAAGATAATTTTAATAAATATGCGATATATTCCAAAAACAAAAAATATACAAATAGCAAACAAATCAATATTTTTTTCTTTACAGTAAAATGCATTTTATTTATTCAGGGAAGGTTAAAAAAAAAAAAAGGTAAGGGAATAAAAGAAGTTTCTACAAAATTAAAACTATGAAAACAGTATAGTTTGTTTGACACAGGATCACATCACATGTGAACGATTTTACAAGTTTACCTGTACATTAAACTTAAGATAAAACCACAGTACTGGAACGACGCCGTATCACCTCTCAAATTCAACCGTATATATTTATATGGAAGCCAGTCTTATCTTTAGCTTCCACCTTATCCCACATATATAGAATAAATACATGGTATATTATATTATATATATATATATAGTAATAAAAAAAAACATCAACATGAACATATGGTCATTGTCACTATATATATATGTTCTACCAACAAAGTTTAATTTTGATGGAGCTATTTTCTGTCCAACCTGGCTTTGGTTGCATCCATTGCTAATCGAATGAAAGAAGAGGTATCACCTTGCACAACCAAATTTGGAATAAGTTGAGGTGAAGTTTCCATATTATTGTTACGACCACCCACATGCTCATAATTTAAGAAAGGATTATTGTAGTAGTCCATAAGAGCTGCATTATTTTTAGGTATTATTATATTGTCTTGATCATGGACGACACTTGGGTTAGTCAATCTTTCTTCATCATAAGGATCCTGCTTTGTGATGGAACTATTACCACATTGTCGAGGTTGTGTTTGGTAGAACACCTTTGAAACCACTAATTCCCCATCTTTCTCTTCTTCGTTGCTTCCAAGGTGGTATTGATGCATCACCCAGTTGGTCTTCTCGGGCTTCTTTTGCCTCCCATAGTTGGTGTAGAGAACCAGTATCTTTTTGAAACCCTTCACAGCACCACCAACGAAAACTGGTCTAGTTTTTCCTGTTTTGTGCCATCTTGTCTCGCTTCCTTCTTCATCAGTGTGAACCTTTCTTCTTTTCCTTGTTCCGGTTGTGTATGCTTTAGATGGCCTGTGAAAGAAGTGGCGAATCTGTCCATCTTTGCCTACACCTGCAATTCTTCACGGAATAATGTTTCATGTATGTATCTTTTGTTAAGGAAAAATATATTGGACACACAAAATAATGGAGAGAGGGAGAGGTACGGACTCGTGATGTCAACGTATAAATAGGAAAAGGTGGTTGTTTGTGTCCCAAAATCTTTCTTCCACGTGCATGAAGTAAGATGCATGCAGATTGCAATCTTTAGATTAAGTACATATTAGTGGCTTTTAGGTGAAGATATGAAAAGCTAAATTGCTTCTCGAAGATTTAGGTTAGTTCTTTTTTCTTTTTCCCTTTTGATCTTTATTAACCTCCATAAAATAATTAAAATCAAAATCACTTGTTCCCCTTTCTTTCTTGCCCCGTTAATTTTATCCCCTAATTATAAATATAAAAAAATGACGCATTAGCATAAAAGACTAACAATAAGAAAAGGGTGTTACATTTTAATCAAACGTCATTTTTCAAGAGGGATAAAAAAGAGGAGACATGCATGTGATTTCAATTCCAAATTATAAGTGATCTACTAAATGATGTGTATTGGTCTCATAATCCATTTAGCCAGTGAGACTTATATAAATTTACCCATTATAATACAATAATAAAAAAAAAATATGTTGGAAAGAATTATTGCCCAAGATTAAGGGCGAGCATATACATTCACTTCCTACATGGCTAGCTAAATGTAAGATGAGATGCCACCATTGAGTTTGGTAGTTAAATTGACAACACTAATAAAGTATTTTTTTTCTTGTAACATACTTGAACGAGTTGGTTAATAGGTGTGAATGTGATTACTTCTCCCATTGATTTCTTAGTTTCCTTTTGGACAGAGTGACACATAACTCCAATGGGCAGAAACTTTTAGTTGCTACGTTAATTATAAATTCAAGAAAAACGAATCAAAAGATGAGACATTATTTATTGGAAAGGTAAAATATCTGTTCATTTTCTTCCCTAATTTTAACAAAATAACCTCCCGCTCCCCTAGGCGTATCATTTAACTTTTAGAGAATCCCTTCCACAGCAAGTATAGAATTTTAAAATTAACCAACAGCAGATTGTTATAATGTTTATTATTTTTCATTTGTAGAGACTATAAATGGTTTGGAGTCGTTTTCAACTGCACTAATTTCTTTCAGCAAACTTATTTTCATCACTACCTAAAACCTTGCATGTTTCATGCAACACATCAATTTGATGTCTCCCAAAATTTAGAACTTCGATAATAAGTATAACCTATGCATCAAACGGTATTTCCAAACCAAGCTTTAATTTGAAAAACCGTGGGCAACCCCAATTGCAGTTATAAACTTATAATATCAAGGTTTTTGGAGTTTTTACGATTACATGCATTATCTATAATATAAAAAAATAGCAATGAAACCGTAACTTCCATCGCATTTTTTTTATAGGAAAAAGATTCATTGTTAATAAAAAAAAATAAATAAATAAAGTTAAATTGAGCACAACTTATGCCCGACTTGAGACTCCAATCCATTGCTGACACCCAAACAAATAGCTTTAGGACTAATTACACCCGGTGCTAATTAACATCACCCAAAAAAAAAAAAAATTTATTGGGATGGATAGAGGAGAGACATAGGAAAAAATAAATTAAGGTAGTCAGAAAGAGAAAGTAATAAATATTATGATTAACATGATGAAAAAAATATAAGATAGAGAAAAATAAGATAGAAGTGAAATAGAAGAGAAAGTGAATGAATGATTTTATTTTTGATTTAAAACCTTGTTTCAAACCATAAAACCTGGCAAAATTAATAAATAAAAAAAATAGTTGAAAAGCAAAATAAAATATGAAAGACGTACCTGGAAGCTTTTCTGGGTGCGTATAACAAATCCCGTTCTCGCCCTCAAGCGTTGGTATGAACTCATCAATAAGGGGATGAAGCTTTGGCATATCAGACAGTACCTTTGCTTCCAAATGCTCTAATATCTCCTGATCATTCGGATCGAACTTCACCCCAGATGGTAACCCCGGCAACTCATTGATTCCACTCTAATGAAGAAACAAAAAAAAAATAATGATAGTTTTAAGAGTATACATAAACAAAGGAAAGGTTAATAATTTTATAAAATAAAAAACACAAACATGTGGTGGTGAATGATGAAAACCTAGATCTTCTTCAGTACCTGATCTTGGAATTCAATGTTATGGCCACACGAGGGACAATTTATGGTTCGAATTTCGGTTGGTTTTGGGTCAGTAACACTAACAAGAGTGTTATTAGTTGTTGTTGGAGTAATAGTGGGTGTGACCACTCCAATTCCCCTCTCTTCATCTGACTCATTGCACCATGTCATCTCTTTCTCCTATGCCCACATATCCCTAACCAGATCCTTTATTTCTTTTACACCTCCCTACAATATCACCTTCCTAATAATATAACCAGCAAGGAAAAAAAAAAGAAAAAAAGAAGGTAAACACAAAAAGAATAGCATAGAATTAAGGAGGAAAAAAAGGAAAAGGTAAAGCTCGAAGCCTTGTCTCTTTCGAAACACGTTTTTCTCGAATCACCTCTTGTTTTTGGTGTAGGAGTAATCAATTCTACTAGTATTCCTTCCTCTACATGTATTCTCTATCTATGTATGATTGAACTAGCTAGGTTTGGTTGTGTAAACTGTTTGCACTGGCCAACTTGTTCATAGAAAGAGAGAGAGTGAGAGGGGCAAAGGGTATAACCGATAAAAGAAAGGTGGGACTCAAAAGTGGGTTCTACATATAGAAAAGGATGCTTGGACGCCAAGTTTGCTTGTGTCCCCGTATATATATATACGCTTGGCTTAGGGGGTTAAAAGGTTCTTATTATTATACATGAGAGATTAATTAGATTGGCTAAGGAAAAAAAAATTATATGAACCCTAAACAAGTACAAAAAAAAAAAAAGTAGAAAACGGTGGTGGGTAAGAGTGGAGATGGGGCAACCTGATTCTTCTTAGGACGTTTCACCTTTTTAGCAAGAGCATGTGTGCGTGTTAGGAGTTCAGCTGCAGTGTCAAATTAGAGTGTCCTTAAAGCTATGTAAAAATTTCACAAACATCAGACATGTACATACGAACCGACAAAGAATGTAACATAAAGAATACGTTTATGATTAATGTATATATCTTTGCACCAACCAACAAAAACACTGTATATATATACCCAATTTTAACCCCTTTCTTCACGTAGACTTCTTATCTTAAGTAACGGATCTCTCTCTCTTTTTTCTTTCACACTCGCGCACATACACGCTCCCTACAC